AGAAGACTCACGTTCAACAAAACTGTCCACATGGGTACAATAATACACAATTCTTTGGTCTCCTGGTTTTGGACTGCTTTTATCCCAAAAGCTTTTATGAAATAAAAAGGAACGCCTCCTAAATCACTCACCACTCTGGCTGCATGGCATTCGTATGGCCCAAGGGCTGGATCCAAGCAAGGTTTCTAACAGTGACTAGTGCAACATCTGAGGTTACACCTTCTTTAGAAGTCAGGTGCCCTGAGAAGGATCCGCAGTAGGACATATACCGTATAGGAGACTGCCTTAAATCCTGCACTTCTCTGACCAAAGCCAGTGTGTTCAAAACGCAGGAGGAGGAGGCACCATCCTATTTTCCTACACTTACACAACAGTCAGAGACCTGAGTTTATTCCTCGTCTGAGGAATTTTGAACCCACAGCTCTTCCCTTCCAGGAGAATACCCCAATGCTACAGGGGGACACATGTATTCTGTACTCTGTTGAAGCGCTTCCGTTAGAAAGATTAATGAAATCAGGGGGAGAAGGCCAGATAATTGTTTTACCCAGTGACTTAAATAACAAATTATACAGAGTGCTGGAGCTGGCGCTGCTCACAAACACATGCCTGCCCGCTCATCCGGAGTCTCTGGTCACTCATTTCCCACTTGCAGTCCAACCAGGCTCTCGTTCTTTCCTGCGCCGTGAAGCCCCATCAAAAGGAGAGGTGGAGAAATGCTGCCTTGCCAACTCACACATTACAGCAGATTGTCTGTTGATTACATCTCTCCTCTTCCAAAAAACAACTCTAAACAAATAAGGCATAGTATTTGCCTGGGACAGCTTCCACAAACAGTAAAATGCTCAAATAAAAACACTAGGTAGGAAAGCCTGGCCAGATGAGAAGGCTCTTCCTCTCCTCTGCATTTTTATATACATCAACAGCTGTTCTCACAGAACCTTGACATGCTAAACGCAAAGTATTTAACTATCTGTCTGTGTTATCCTACCTGTTTTATTTTGAATAACTGAATGCCACCGTAGTGATCAGGGAATCTTCCTCTTTTCCTGTAAATTTTTTATTAGGGACCTCCTAATCTCTAAATATTTAAAGCTTTATTTGTTTGACACGTTGAATTAATTGACTATTAATACAAAACCTCCCACAAAGAAGCGACAGATATACCACCTCAAGCTGTGATGTCTTTGCTTCTCACAGCCTAAGGCCTCGATTCTGCAATTACACACATTTATCTGTACTATGGTGAAGAATCCCAATGGGACGACTCACACTAGTGAAGTTAATCACATTTGTGAAGATCTGAGTCCTGTAGTTTTGGCTTGGGACTGTATTTGGATGAGATATCTTCAGGGAACCAAGATCTGAAGAAAGTAGCACCAGCAGTGTAGTGTTTGATGCTTCTTATGAATAACATTAGTACAATAAACCTGAAGGCGAAGGTGTTCTACTTGAAACTGGCTGGGGAATCGCCATGAACGGCTCACACCTACAGCCCTGCCACCAGCTTCCTCTTGACCTACACAAAACTACTGCAGGTCTGGATGCCTGCGCCTGTCCATCTGTAAAATCAGATGAATGACATGCATACACAACACAAAAGCACCAGGAGTAATTTTAAAGTGTCTCCAAAGTGATTTGAGATCTTTATAGGGAATCCCATGGAAAAGAAGTGATTATGAACTGTTTAGTATCAGTGAACCAAAGCCCTGTGAGAAGATATAAAACCAAAATCTGCATACCCATCAGCACTTCCTTAATTAATCCCACCGTCCTAGCAAGCTTAGTGTATTGCATTTCCTAATTAATTAACTAAAAAATCAAGCATCCCAGTACACTAGTTAAGAAATTATCTGTACCACAAAGTTTATTATGACTATACGGTGCTCTTGCAAATCAGTATACTTGAATGCTTCAGTCTAAATTTCGTCGGACTCCTGTTCTGTGTAGCATAAAGAGGGAAATGGCAGTATCTCCTCTTACGCTGCCCATTATCCACGCTCCATACCCATTGTTTTGCCAAGAAAAAGTTCTCGGGATGCCCAGGGGCACTGCGTGCGTTAAGGGTATTCTCGCTTTCTCCTGAAGGACGGGTGGATTACCCCTAATTTGCAGCAGCCGGGTACCAAACCAACGCCAGCACCGCTGAAACCCACCCTGTGCTGCCCCAGACCCATTTCTAAGCGACGCCTTCGCAGGGGGTTTCTCAACGGCCCATTTGTGCCACCGAGCTGCCAACAGCCACAGCTCGTCTGACACCAGGGGACTTCCTGGGGCTTCCCCAGACCGCCTCGGCCTCGCACCGCAGCCGTTTGCCGCCTTCCACCGCTCCCGGGCCTGACTGACAGAGCAGGCCCGGGGGCGGGAGCACGGCCGCCCGGCACCTAAGGCACGAAGGACTGCACAGCCCCGCGGCCCTGCCGCCCGCGGGTGCGGCCTGCAGGGTCTCGGCACCCCCGGGGTCTCGGCACCCCCTGGGTCCCGGCGACCGGCGGGGCCGCGGCCCTGAGGCGATGGCGGAGGCCTCAGGCGCGGCCCGCGGTTCCCCTCAGCCGCGGGCGTGGCTGCACGCAGAGCGCCTGCGCGGGCCCCGCCTCCGCTCCTCCAGGGCAGACGAGGCGTGGGGCAGAGCGGCCGCGCAGGCGCAGGCCTTCCGGTGCCTGCGGAGGCGGGACGGAGGGGGCCCCGGCAACCTCTCCGCCTCAGGAGACCGGCAGGGACCGGGGAGAGCAAAGGCAACGGCCCCAGACCGAACAATCAACAATAAAAATGAACCAGCTGGTGATGTTTTCACACGGGTTTCAGGAGGAATCCGAGTCCAGGCCGGCCAGCGTCAGCCAGCGGGAAGGGCAAAGCGAGGCGTTAGTCAGGCGGAGCGGTGAACGGCGTTCCTTCGCGCCCTAAGCGATGGGCTCGTTTTGCCTGGTAATCAAATTAATTCTCTATCAAGTTTTCACGGGTTTTAACCCGTACCCGGTGAGTATTTTTCACACGTGCTTTGGGACGGCTCGCAGAAGTCACCGATCCTTTTTTCTTCGCCCTCGCCGCTTGCGGGTGGACGCTGCGCCGTCTCCTGCGCACTCGAGGACTCCCACCTCACGGAACGCCGGCTCCTCTGTACCAGCACCTCCCCACGGGTCGTCATCAAAAACCTGGATTTTCGCTATCCTGACGTTCGCATCCCGATTCCGCAGTCATCAAAATCCAGTCAAACTGGGGAATGTCGTGCCCCACCACACCCCAGGAACACAATAATGACCTTCCTCCGTGGGACGGCAGGACATCTTCCACCCGGACTGTAACTACTTACTGTAGGCTCCAAATTCTGCCTACAACGGAGAACGCTCATGCCTTTGCACGCACGCGCGTGCCTATACATTGTGCCTGGGCACAGGCACTCTGAGTTTGCCATGCTGATCGCTAAGTAAACCTCCTTCTGCTCCAGTTATGTTTCTCAGACATACACTGCTTCCACCCCAGATACACAAAAACATTTTCTGAGTTTCATCAACCTATAACTAATCTAAACTGGCTGTTCAGGAATAATCAAATTAACGTGGACTCCAACCAATGGCAAATCTCATCTCACACACATGTCAAATGAACAAAAATAAACACTGAAACAGGAGGCAACATTAAGAAAAATCTTCAAAGTTTACACATTCTTACAAACAGGAAGCTTTTCCATCATATTTGTGAACAAAGTCTTTGCACTGATGCTGCCTTAAGCTACCTAACATTGCTTTGCTGGTAGTACTGTCATTTCACCATAGTCAAAAGGCAACCTGGATCCTTTGGGGTTTCTGTTAATAATTATGCATAGACTGAAGAATTCTTAAACACAAATTCACTGGCTCAAGGAAAGCAAACTGACTTGTCAGGATTGTAGTTTAGTATGACTTCACACAATGGTTTCTAAGCCTTTGCACACTAACTACAGTTTTCTAACAATTCTTATATAAGGTAGAATAGTTTTGCTCCACAAGCTACTGACACAGAATGGTCTGACTAGTATTCTTACTGCAGTTTCTAAACTGAATAGTGCTGCTCCTATAAATTACAGAATGTGAAGTGTGAATTAATATTCCTGTTTCACTGTGTTAATAGAGACTAACTTTTTGGTAATTACTATTGCTGATAAATGACATTTTCTCTTCTAGCTGAAATAAACTTCCACTGCTTTTCAGGCAACACTGAGCTGTATTTTGAGATGGGATTTGGGGGTTTTAATACATATGTAATGCCGGTTTGAATTATGACAAAGGGATTAGTTGTGCTGCTGGGAGAAAAAAAAAAGGCCTAATTCTTTACTGTAGTCATCCAGCCTGGTTTACAGACTACAGTAAGAAATTATCACATCAACATTTACAAGAACAAAACCAAACTTCTTTAAAACTGGCAACCTAAGAATACGTGGAACCTCTGTGATATGGACATGAGACCTGACCATGTGGTACACAGCCAAGTTTTAAAAAGTAACTCCATTAAATCTGCAGGCATGTTTTCTTCTGTTGGCAATTAATTTTTTCCCTACCCCCAAGGGAAACTAATGGGACACCTCTTTAATCATTAGAAGATACTCAAAACTACATTACAGTATCAGTATGTGAATATAGGACAGATTTAGATGACAACATTTTACAACTTGGTAAAATACAATCTCCCTGAAAAATAAAAGTTATTAGAACACATTATCATCAAGCCTGGTCATCCAGGTCCTGTTTGCAACTCTGCTGCTGGTTTAAAGTGGGACTTTCAGCAAAATAGTTACATCTGTTTCCCCATTTGTCAGTTGGCAGCTACCAATACCTCTCTTCCTCATACAACTGAGGAGGCACAGAATCAAGTTAAGCTCTGGTGCAGAAGCAGAGACATCCAGTGAAGACTGTTACATCATGGATTAACTTCTCTGTTTGTAAAGTGCATGGTATAATCAGCACGTACGAAAAGGAAAAATGGACTAAAAATGAGCCCTTTGAAAGAGATACAGAGTGAGAGCAGAATGTCTTGCACTAAGGTTATGTATTTAACAGTTTTACATGAAATATTTATATATAAAAACTTTGTTAAGTGCTTTTTCTCCAATTTAAAAATCTAAAGAATTCAAAAATAAGGCATTCAATATTTGAAAAAGTACAGATTTACAAAATGTGTATATTCTGCCATGAAAACTCCACACCAACATTATACACTTGGAAAAAAATACAAACAGGATATATTACAAATTTATGTAGCAATAACTTAGTTCATACCATGCAATAAAAAGTACGTTAATCAAGATACACAAGCTTTTAAACTTCCTAAACTGGAGGGCTTAATTCCATTTGCAAATGAGTTTTTATGCAAATTCTTAGAACTGTGGCACTTGAAATTTCTGGTAGCCTTTCTATTGAGAGTTAAATTGTACATAATGATTATGAGGATGGAGAGTAACAAAGCAGCTGTTACGAATCATTCCAACTTTGTTCGACAATAGCTGAAACTCTTTTCTCATATTCGCGTTTGTTCTCCTGATAGAGTTGTGCCGCCTGACTGTTTGCTGGACTGTTTGGATTAGGTTCATCAAGCAGAGACTGTAAAAAGGGGAAAACAAAATGTGAGACAAACCAACACATTTTAAATCAGGGAAAAATCAACTTAAAACTTTCAAATCAAATGTGTTTCAGGAGACAGACACGACTCGTAAGAGCCCAACTGAAAAAAAACCCAACAGTTAAACTCATGGTTAGGCACCCACAATTACACTACTGAACCTCAAATTATATATTGCATAAGCATTAGCACTGCGTACACTTCTAGGTTCACAAACCTAACAGATACATGGTCATTTGTGCCAGTTAGCAGTATTGCTAATTGATGGTAACTGATTATTTGGTAATTACACTACTACTGTCATCCAGGACTAAAGAGGGGCTTAAGATGCCTCCTACAAAACTTCCCTGTAGAAAAATAAAAACAATGACACAGGAGAAAAGAAAATGTACATTTTTGATGTGCCAGGCCATTTTTACTTATTCCAAGTAAAGCAGGTTTCAGCAGTATTGTCTCCCTGAGGACTTCATAGGGCAAGACTTCACAATAAAGTCTGGTGTTTCAAACACTAGGCAAATTCCTACATCTGATGTCCTATCTTGACTAAAAACAGTTAAAAAGGAATCCAAATCAGTAACAGTTTTCCTGTAAAAAAGTATCTAATGGCACTTTTGTAGCTCAAAATTAGTAATTACACAGGCCAGCACCTTAACCTTTATTTGATCTAAAAGGCTACTGCTTAGCTCACAGGTATCTGAAGTCCCCCTTGACACAGATACCTGCTAGCCACATCACTGAGCTCCGTATTTGGGAGTAGAGACTAACACCACTACAGTTACTTGCTAAAACAGATGTAAAGTTACCTGAATTGAAGTTAAAATAGATGAAACATCATATGTTGGACTCCAGCGATTCTGAAGAATATCTAAACATATGCTACCATCCGCATAAACTGTAAATACAACATAGATATCATTTAGAAACTATCAGATTTACTTTAGTTTGCTCATTACATACTGTTCAAGGCAGAGCTACTGTTCCAGTTCAGACTGTGCTTAAATTAATGCTTTAGGAAAGAGGACAAGCAGTTACGTCTCACAATTTTCTGTAGTCTGACATCCTGTATTTTGAAGGAGATATATTACTGGCAGTAACAGAACACTTAAGTGGAAGAGAAAGAAGGTCTAAAGATTATGGCACTAGCACAGGAGCTGGCAGACTTGGTTTCTTGCTCCTCTTGTGTGACTGGCCCAGATCCACACAGAGGTGAGGCCTCCCGGAGAGCAGCGAGCCATTTATAGGAGGAGTGGAATCCACTGCACCGGCCGTGGATCTCTCCGTCTGAACGGACTCACGCACTGCATGGCGGGAGTTCTTGCCCCGCTTTCACATACTCTACGCTCACTGTGAGAGACACTAAGGCAGACAACAGAAAATACTGAAAAGTCTGCCTGAAACCCTACTTCTGTCTGGATACTTATCAGTAGTCTTAATAAAGAGCCCGTATGAAACTGAGACTCGCCACTCAAACTTCCTACGCCCTAGCCTTCTAGCTTGTTCATGCCAGTAAAAACCAACAAATGATAAAAACCCTGTCAGAGGCATACTGGCCTGCATGTTACGTGACAGGTGAATGGTTAGATGGCACTGTCTAAAAAGTCACAGCACCGAAGCCAAGGTCAGCCTCTGTTCAAAGAGGGCTCAAGCTACAAGAAAAGCTGAATTGGGCTTATGCTGCAACCCTCAAATTGAATCTATACTCCCCTTTGCTACAGAGGGGCTTGGAAAAGTAGAAGGCATGGTTTGTGTTTTCTGCATGCAGGAATAACTGGATAAAACCTATTAAGTGCTGGAGCAGGAACCATGGCACTCTCTCTCATAAGGCTGCCCTCACCATTGAGTTTGGGTCAGCCTCCTCCTCTGCACTCACCTACAACCGTGCATTGCGACCTTCTTCCTTGTGCTAGTACTGGTTGGTACAGTGAACCAAGCAAAGGCATGGAATGGGCTGAAATCTAGCCTGACAGAAATAAATAACATTTGGCTCGATAGTTCCCTACTCCAATTTACGATGTGGCTGCACATACACGATTGCTGTTAAATGGAAGGGGGCAGGAATCTGCAACCAGAATTGCCTCTTTAAGCCAACCTAAGTGCAGCTGCTGCTGAAAATGCTCACAGGTTTTGCTACAGAGGCTATATATTGATTAGAAAGAGACAGATAGCTGCTTCTTAATAGCATAATAATTCTTAATTTTTCATCAAGCAGTTGCTGTCCCAGGCATCTACTTAGAAGCTAGCAATGAAGAGAGATGGCGAGCTGTTAGGCATTCTGGAGCTTTGCAGAATACATGACCACACCGTAATATTTAATGGGTATTACAGCTAAATAAAAATGATTTACTCACCATTTGGATGGAACATTTTTGATAAAAACCTAACAGTTGGAGGCTTATTTGGATATTCTTCAGAAAATTCTATTACTAGTTTAAAAGTACCTGTCCAAACAAACATAAATACAATCAGATAACCAACACCAAAAGAACACCTCCAGGAACATATACAGCATCAGCTAATTTATCTGCTCCATGATCGGTATTGCTTCTCACCATTATATAAACAAACAACACTGGGTCTGGTTTCTTTTCATATATTTCAAGTGATAATGGAACTACTACTCTAGTGATAGTAATAAACCCAGCAGCAGCTAGGTGGAAGCTTGGAGACTCACTGTACACATGGCAAAGGCAGCTAGATCCAACATCAATCATTCCACCACCCTCACCTTTTTCTGTGACCCAACATGCCGGTTCCATGGACTTCAGTGACTTTAAGGCGTTTCATTAAGAAGGCACTGTGGTGCCAGCAAAGAAACACTGGAATTTCATAATCGGCAGTCTCAGTCTTTGGAGCTCGTGACCGATTCACTGAAAACCTTTATTATGGATCAGTGAATAATTTACTGTAACTCCTCCAACCCAACACAGAGAAAAACCCATCTGCTGCCGATTACTGCAATAATACTATAATTATTAAACTCATTATTCCTCATATGCCTAAGGGAGCTTCATTACACACCAACTTTCATGTTTATGCACAAATTCGGTATTCCCTCCCCCTCACTGAGTTCTATATTCAGAACAATTGAAGATCCTTCACCTGTTCTTCATTAGGAGAACAGAGATGAATCAAACATGCCACAAAGATGAAACCAGAAAAGCACGCTGTCTTGTTGAGCTTAGCTATGGAGATGTGAAAACACATCTGGCAGCATTAGACCAACTTCCCCCACTAAAAGCTCTAGTGTATATGTATAAACAAGTCTTGGTATAAGCACTGTTTCATAGCTTTCTAACCATCATCAGTATGACAAGACATTGCTTATATCAAAATACATATTTTTATAGTCAATGAGACCTTACTCCTTCACTTGCTTGCTTAGTTTGTTCCAGATTATATACAGACAACATCTATTATTTTTTCAAAGCAGAACAATGTTCATACTGGCAATATTTATAAGAATGACAGAGGATATAAAAGTTAGCGGCTTACCATCTTCAAAAGGTGTCCCTTCCGGCCTGAAAGGTTTTAAAAATAAACTCCAGTTAAAAATGATCATTACCTACTTCTTAACAGGCACAATGAATTTGTATCATCTTCTTCATCCTCCCCAAGACATAGGTAGAGGCAATAACTTAAATATTTAGAGAAGTATCCAGAGGCAACCTCTGAGAGCTTTGGCGTATCTAAGATACTTTCCCATAGCCAGTCTGCTAGTTGAGATATCTACTTTATCATCATGCCAAACAATACATATGCCATTATGTGACTAGATTGGAATTACTGAGCAAATTACTAGCAAGCATTCTTCAGTTTTATGAAAGGATACTAAGCCAGTTCCTGTTCTGTAGGATATCTAACGTAACTTCCTAGACAGAACCGGTACCATGTTCTACTGGGAATCAATCCAATCAATGCTAATACAGCTGGATTTAACAGCCGAGAACATGCGGCTCTTATGTACTTTAAAGAGGAAGCCTGCTTTTTCATAACACAACTCCTACACAGTCTAACCTATTTCTTAAGCCATATGCAAGCTTTATTCAAAAAAGATGAACAAATTCTAAATTTTTCTTTCCTATGCATTCTGTATTACCCCTGAAAACAGATTCTTACCACAACAGCACACTTGGTCATTTTTCCAAGTTTCCTGACTTCATGTACATAAAATAAGAGAATCATTGTAAAAACAAAACCCAGGTTTTGTTATATTTAGCCCTTTGATATAGAGTTTTATAGTGATCAAAAACTCTTACCCAAATATAACTGCATTCCATTGCATTATATTATTCTCAGATGGTGCACCACTGACACCCACAGGAGGGTCTTCTTGCAATCTAAGAATTACAAATATAGAAAAACAAGCCTTATATAAATGAAATACTTCCACCTGCAAGTATAATTTAACAGTAATATCCAGAATTTGTAAATATTTTCTCATTCCAAATCAGAAGGTACACAAAGCATTACACACAGATTATCAATACTCTGCAAGACAAACCTACAAGGTGATGCACATCGAGATTTTCTCATGTATTACACCAACACGCTACAACAACCCAACAGGTTAGATTAAGTGTGCAGGGAACAAAGCATTAACTCTAAGAATAATTTAAAGCACCACATACAGCTGGGATTTACAGTACGAGATAGCGAACTGTGGAAGAGCAATTGTTGCTGGCTGCCACAATGAAGAGAACAAATCGCAGCCACAAACAGGAGCTGAAAACCAGCCAGTGACACTTACACAGCCTACTTGCTGGGACTAAGCGCAAGGGACCGTCAGTGGAGCTTTTCCTGCATTCCCAGATCCGTATGTGCATGTGGCTAAATTTGGTATAAGCCTATTTTGACTGGCAAGCTGACTGCTTCAAAAGGGAGCATGGGGAAAACCTGTGTACTGCTCCCTCTTACCAGTTCAACAAACGTGTTTCTCTAAAGTAATCATGTAAACATTTTGAATTCTTTCTAGTTCCTTAATCCTTGGACTAAGGAAAAGCACGTTACGTATCGAAAGCCCCATAAACTTGGGCCAGACAGAAATATATATTGCAACCAAAGAACCAAAGGATGCAGATACTGTCCTTCTGCCCATCCTTCTGTATACCAATGTTTCTGCTTAAAGGTCACCTAAGACCCTGAACAACACAAATCAGGAAGCCCCAATCACCTGATGAGCAATTTGCCTGATCAAACCCCTTTGGTGACAGCTGCTACCCACCCCACATATTCAGCCTCAAGTTACACAAGAATAAAGAAAATGCAGTGACTGCCCTTGCTTCAAAAGCAATTCTTCAGCGTTAATATGAGGTTTGACCACATCACAGTACACTGTTATGAGCAAGTCGCCACCAAAAGCCCTGCAGACCAAGGGACAAATTCTAACTAAATGTCAGTGTGTAAACGCACATGTATTCATAGCTGACACTGGTATACAGCCAGTCAATTCTCCTGCACTTGCACTGCCTAAGTCTGTGGTAAAACTGCATGTGTATATGGACGCTGAGCAATGGCATTGCCCTACAGAGACAGCCCAGAAGCAGGGCTTGCTCCATTTGCAGCTCGGATCGCCTCTGAACTCTGTGTTTACATCCTTGCTCTCCGAGCACACACAGTTCAGACAGCTTAGTATCAACAGCATAAACCACCTACTATTTTGGTCAGGGTGAGCAGGAACAGGACTTCTTCCTATGTGACAGCCAGGCTGTACGCCAACAATGCCTAAGCGTTCAGCCTGACAAATGCATCTGAAGGATGACTTTGGTTTTTAGATCAATTTAAAAGCTCACGTGCACCCTGCTGTCAAAGGGTCTAACTACAGAAAGGTTGCGGCAAGGACTGGAAATGAGCCTGATCTGAACACGGCCCAGAAATCTTTAACAGCTAGGGAAAAGGTAGTATTTGTAGCCCCTTTTCTAACAGGAAAAAACCAACCAAACAAAAAACCCCCTTATTTTTCTGTTGGTTTAGTCAAACAAATTAGAGGAGATACAAAATCTGTTGAAATGTTCTCTCTCCACTGCTCTTGACAATCACAGTTTGCAAAAGGAGTTTATATTTAAAGAAGTGAATCAGAGTTCACAGCACAGTCTGATTTTTCAGTATGAGGTACAAGTAACATAAGGCTGAACAAATACATAACTTACAGTAGGAAAGAGAAGAGTAAAAAAAACTGACATGAAAAAGTTACATAAGTTTTAGGGTATCAAAGTTGTCATTTATTTGATAAATAAATTTGATTTGTTTTGTGTTTACTTGGCTATACTTCACAGCTTTAGTCTTCTCTCCAGCTTAAATTTCAAAATTATTAAACCAGTCCTTCTACAATTATAAAATCATAAAACCCACATCTGATTGCAATCTCGAAGAATTACTTAAGTCTCTCACCCTGAAAAAAATCACTGGTTCATGTCATCTGTGTAACTGAATACAATAAAAAAGACTGAATATCCTGTTTTGATTTGAACAGGAATCAAGCAACACCCACTTAGCAAACACCAACACCCAAACACAACAGAAGAGGTTGGCTCCACATCTCAAAAACATCCAACTTTTTGTAGATTCACAAATCAGGCTTTTACCACTGTAGCTTTACATGCAGTCACATAAAGCAACTACAATACACATCAACTGTTTACTGATGTATTTTCAGGTACTGGTATAACATAGCTAAAAAAAGAGACACTATCAAAGCTGACTCATCAACAACTTACGAGTGACTCCAGTCCAGGGAAATCACACGACATATTGTAAAGCTTACAGAAGAACCCCCCACCTTTTTCTGTGCTCTCGGTTATAAGTGTGTTTACATGTCAGACTGGAAAGAAATTATTCTAGAGTCTGTGGTTCGGTCATTAGCATTTAAAAGAGTGCAACTAATAACTGCTTCTGTAGCAGTTTGTATATATTATACAGAAGATTCCTCATGACTGAAAACCTTAAACAGAATAGCATGCGCATAAAAACATTAAAGGGCGTTTTGCTTTTTATTACATACAGGCAAACGAAGCGTTTGCCAACTCTTGGCGCTTTGTTTTTAGATGCCCGTCCCGAACAGTACTTCTCTTCGGAGACCGTCAGCCCGAGCGGCCCCAAACGGATCTAAAGCCCGGTCTGTTCAGAAAACCGGGCCAAACACCTTCGGTATGCAAAGGGAAGGGACGGGGGTGCGGGAAGCACGGCGCAAGCCTTCGGCCTCGGCCAGCTCCGCACCGCCGGGCCCTCCTAGGGCAAGGGCACCTGTAAAACACACTCGCACCCAACCTAACCTGTAAAACACCCCCACCGAACCCCGACACCTGACAGCCCGCCGCCAACAGCCCGTCTCCCACCCCCCCATCCCCCCGAGGAGGCTCCCCCGACCCCCGCAGGCGGCGAGGCCGGGTCTGCCCGTGTTTTGAAGGCACCAACTTCAACTTTTATCCTCAGACGCCCCCAGCCGTCGGCTCACGGGCGAGGCGGGGCGGCCGGGGCCGCGGCGCCCAGCACAAACAAAGCCGGCCCTGCCCGGCGGGACCCCCCCCCGGCAGGTACGGGGAGGGCTCCCCGAAGCGGAGCGGGGGGGAACGGGCGAAGCCGCTGGCTGGGAGCGCACCCCTTCCCCGCCGCCCCCACCGGGGAGGACCCAGGGAAGGGGGGCTCGGTGCCAGCCCCCGTCCCCAGCACAAAGGAGCTGGGGCCGGAGGGAACGGCCCGGGACACGCCGTGTCCCGTCCCCCCCCGGCTCCTCGCCCTGCCGCTGCCCGCGGGCACAGCCCCTTCCCTTCACCGGGGCAGCAGCCCGGCGGTGCGACCCCGAACCCCGGCCCCGCAAACAGCCGGGTCAGGCCCGCAGCCGGGCGGCTCCGGCTCTACCCGGGCAGCGGCGGC